CAGGGACCTTTGGGCATCTGGAGATGGAAGGGTGTCATCTTCAGAAGAGATGCCGGGCATAGAGACATCTCTTCAGAAACCGCTGGCAAAGAAACAGTAGAAGAAACTGCAAGGGATGGCCAAAGGAAAAAGCACAGGGAGAAGTGAAAAGGGAAGCAGAGACAGATCCTTGGGGAATACTTGCATTCAGGAGCCACTGTGTAAGACCAAAAAGAAGTGTTTAGAGGCACAGGAGAACCGGGAAAGTGTGGCATCTCAGGAGTCAAAACAAGAGAGATATGTAGTAGGATCAAGTGGTTAACAATAGCAAATGCTGTAGAGGTCAAGGAAGACAAGGAGTGAAAAAAGCCACTGGAATTGGCCAGGAGGAGGTCACCGCTAGCTGCCTTAAAGAGAAATGTTAACACAGAAGGGAAGGATCTATTTCAAGGGTTTCAGTAGAAAGTGAGTAATGAGAAAATGGAGACATCAGGAATAGACAATTTTTTTCAAGAAGTTTATCAATGAAATGAAGGCCCCTCTATTTTTTTTTAAGGACTGTGAGAATTGAGTTATATTTCCCTTTTTGTTTATATCCCCATTACCTAAGAGTGAATAGAAGGTGCTTCTCCTCTTACCTTCCATCTACTCAGTCTGTCTCTTGTATGTACCTATTCATTTAGATACTGTCTCCCCAGTTACAATGTAAGCTCCTGGAGTGCTTAGCACAGTATAGAGCACAAAGTAAATGCTTGTTGATTGACTGACAGATGGATTTGTGGACATATGGGAAGTAGCCAGTGGAGAGAAAGAGAGCAGACATGTGTGAGAGAGAGGGGATGCTAGAGCAAGTTCCTGGAGGAGGGAGAGAATACGACTAACATTTCATCCAGCAAAACTTTGTTAAAAATTGATTATGTGGAAGGTACCGTGGTAGGTGCTGTAGAGATTAAGATTGCATGTAGAGGGATTAGATTTAGTTAAAATAAGGATTCTACTTATTCTGTGTCCAAAGAGAAAGAGGAGAGGGTGGGTAATGATGCTGAGAAGCTTGGAGGAATGGTGGGGGTGGGACAACTAAAGGAGCTTATGCCAGATGCCTCAACATTCTCAGGGTAAGTCTCCTGCTTTAGATGTAGGGGATGGAAGGAGGTTTGGAGCTTTCTCCATCATTCAAACCCTCTTCATTCCATCACGTTTAGGGAACAGAAATTAAATGTTAGCACTAGTCTAAAATCAAATTTAAAGAGGCAGGTCTGCTTCCAGGAAAATCCAATTCAACATAATCCAAGGCACTGAAATAAGCTCTAGATATACATGGACAAAAACAAAACAGTTTCATGCCTTCAAAGAATTTAGAATCAACTAGACATAACACATGAAACAATCTCCTAGATATAACATGTGCGTTTACTGCCTCGATCTGACCAAGCTGCATTTCTATGTGGACCCAGGTATATGTATTAATTCTCAACTGTTTTAATCACAGAAGAAAAAATCAATTAATTATAAGATCACAGAATGCTCGAGCTTGAAGCCAGTTTAGAAATCATCTAGGTAAACTCTGTCATATTACAGATGAACAAACAGTACCCCAGAGAAGTAGACTGCCTTTGTAGAATCATATCCTTAGGAGCAGCTAGGTGGTGCAGTGGATAGAGCACCAGCCCTGAAGTCAGGAGTACCTGAGTTCAAATCCAGCCTCAGACCAAAACACTTGATACTTACTAGCTATGTGACCCTGGGCAAGTCACTTAACCCCATTGCCTAAAAAAAAAAAAAAAAGAATCATATCCTTTAGAGACGGAAGACATCCTACAGTCATCTTATCCAACACTCTTTTACAGGGGAGGAAACTGAGTCCCAGAGAGTCAGTTAGTCAGTAAATAAGCATTTATTAAGCTCCTACTACTATGTGCTAGGCACAGTGCTAAATACTAAAGTTCAGAAAGGTTACCTGACTTGCCAACAGTCACATAGATAATTAGCAGTGGAGGCAGGACAAAAAGGGAGACCTCCTGAATAGCAACCCAATCTTTCCACTATACTAAGGTGATTTTTCTTTAATCCAGAGGACTCTAAGGTGGAGCACCCATTGCTGGTCAGAGAGAGAATCCACCTCAGAAGAAAGGTGACTACAAGGATCTACAAGATCATGCCTATGAAAATCTGCCGAAAGAAACCAGAAAGTTAAGCCGAGAGAAGAGAAAGACTGATATGGAATTGATAGCATTTGAAAAACTGTTGTGTGGAAGAATGATGAGGCCTGTTTTGCTTGGCCCCAAGATGCAGAACTAGGAAGGATGAGTAAAAGTTATTGTTGTTCAGTTATTTTCAGTGTCCAACTCTTTATGACACCATTTGGGGTTTTCTTGGCAAAAACACTGAAGTGGTTTGCATTTCCTTCTCCAGTTCATTTTACAGATGAGGAAAGTGAGGTAAATAGAGTTAAGTGACTTGCATAGGACCACACAGCTAGTAAGTATCTGAGGCCAGATTTGAACTCAGGGAGATGAGTCTTCCTGATTCCACCCTGGCACACGTGTCCTGACGCTGCTCCACCTAGCTGCCCAGGTGAAATTAGCAAACAGTCAAATTTGAGCCTCATGTCAGGAAAAACTTCCTAAAAATTAGAGCAGTCTAATTTCTAGTCCAATTTCTGCCATTACAATACTCCTTCAGTGACTTTTGATGAGTCATTCCCCCACTCAGAAGTTCTATATCATGCCCTCCATCATCTCCAATAAAACAAGCCAGACAGCATACTAGTTGTAATAATAACAGTGATAATAATAAAAATAAAGATAATAATAAATGAGAGGATTGGATCAAAGTCTTTTCTAGATCTAACATTCTATTCTAAATATCCGCTATCATCAATTCTCAAAAAACAAGGTTGGGGTCATTGTCACAGTGAAATGCCCACCTGAAAAAAGGGGCAAATTGAGGCGGCCTTCCCTCTGCTACTTGGTATAGGGTCAGGTCATTTCAATCTGCTACCCTCCCCCCCACTCCCAACCACTTGCTGTGTGCTCAAAGAATGCAAATTAATTATAATATTAATCCAAGAGGAATATAATTAGGAACACAAATGGGCTTCAGGAAATAATCATATCCTGTGTCCCAAAGCTAAATATTAATGAATTTTGGATTATCTGGCATTTTTTTATTATTTGTGCTACTGTTATATCCCAGTTAATGAAGACTCAACTGCACATTTTTAGGGAGTCCATAAGCAAACCCCATTTCAGACTTAGATAAATCATTAAACAATGAGGGAGCAACTGCCGTTGGTCTATATCACTATTATCCAGAGACTGACTGTTCAGATCGGTTTAGATCCATTAGTATATAGCTAGGTGGTGGTAGAGGGAGCTTTGGACCTGGAGTCAGAAAGGCCAGGGTTCAAATCTCACCTCAGACACTTGGCACTTGTGTGACCCTGGGCAAGTCATTTAATCTCTGCCTGTCTTGATTTCTTTTCTATAAAATGGGAACATTAATATTATCTACCTCCCATGGTTGATACGAGGATATGAGATAACATTTGCAAAGTGCTTTGCAAATCTTAACGTGTTATATAAATGCTAGCTATTATTGTTTTTATTAGCCATGAGTTTTAACTAAAATTCTCATTGTAAAGGAAGAACTAGGCAGCCGGCAAGAGAAGAAAAAAGAGCACTTGCCCCATTCTAGGACGGACAGGGTCTTGACCTCTCTCCACAGAAAATATTAAATCTGGACCCAGGTGCTGCTGAGAGTGGGGTCTGGCAGCAAAGCGGCCGATAAAAGACCTTTCTCAAAGACCTTTGATCCCAGACATCCCACGGGAAGTGACTGAGGAGACTGTAGGTTGACAGACAAGCAGGTGTGCACTGGAGGAGCCACAGAGATTAGCTGGAGCTTAGCCAGACCTCCCCAGGATGCAAATCATTCCCAGGCTTTCTCAGGAGACTTCCAAGGTCATGGATTTAAGATCTCGAAAGGACCTTGGAGGTGATCTATCCAAACCCCTTCATTTTATATATGAGGACACTGAGGCCCAAGGAGCTTATGAGATTTGTTCATGGTCACACTGGTGGTTAAGTGCCAGGACCAGGATTTAAACACAGGTCTTCCAGTTTTAGAGACAATGTTCTTTCCACTGTGAACAGACCAGGTGCTAAATCACTCTATGAATCGAGGAGTATCAGAGCCTGCCCCTCCCTCCCTCTCTCTCTCCCTCTCTCTCTTTCTCTCTCTCTTCCCGCCTCCCGCCCCATCTCTCTCACTCTGTTTCTGTTTCTCTCTCTCTCTCTCTCTCTTCCTTTTTCCCCTTCCCCCTCCCTTTTTCCTCCATCTTTCCCTCTCCCTTCCTCCCTCTCTCCCTCTTTCTCTGTATGTATGTATAAATACATGTTAATTGATCATATATATGTATGTACATATATAAATATATTTATATTTAAATTTATTTATAGGTGTATACATATAATATATATTTATGTATAAGTATATATACTATGTATACTTATATATGGATATGTGTACATATATGAATATGCATGCATACATGTTCAGATATATATACATATATGTATACTTATATATAGATATGGTAACAACCTAAATATTGAATTTAATATGCAAATTGGGTTGGGTTTCTTATCTCTCTAAAAGGTTACTAGGAAATATAACCTCTGTGTAAACATCTGACATCAGCAAAGTTTATTCATTCATTCAACAAACATTAACTAAAAGTCTGTAATTATAATTATTGGTAGTATCATCTATGTGTGAGGCCCTATCCTAGAAAACTGAAGAGGCTATAAAAATGAAGAAGACACAAATCCTTGTTCTCAAGGCATTTCAAGATGCCATGGAGTGGACACTACTAGCTACAAGATGTGGTCAATATGCATCATCGTAAGAGTGGTCCAAACAAAACTATGTGCTACAAGACAGCAAAGGAGAAATAAAGTGTATTTCTGGCCAGGCTAGCTTGGAAGCCTTCATAGTGGAGGTGGCATCTGAGTTCGTACCTTCAAAGACCAGTAGATTTCAGATGGCAGGCAGACGGTGGAGGATTGCTTCTCAGGTAGGTTGAAGAGGAGGATTCTTGATTCAGTATAAGTGTGAGGTTCCCTCCAGTTGTGACATTCTGTGACCCTGTGAGTTTACAAAGCACACAGCAATCAGTAACATATGGTGGGGAGTGGGAAGGAGCAGGAGCAGAGGAACACAATTGTTCCTAGCAGCAGAGCTCCAGGACCTGGATCCTAGAGTCTAGTCCTGTCTCTGACAATGACCTTGGACAAGTAACGTCCCCAATTTGGGCCTTCATTTTCTCAGCTATGAAATAATGAGGTCAGACCCAGGTCCCTTCCAGGTCTGACATTTATTCTAAATATGTACCATCATCAATTCTGGATTAATAGGAGGCACAACAGACACAAGAAATGGCATGAGCAATTGTGTGGAAGCAGAAAGTGAGTAGGCCCACCTGGCTGCAGTACACAGTATACATGTAGGAGATAATACTGGGAAAGCAGGTCAGAGGGAGAATGTGGAGGGCATTAAATGCCAAACCAAGGAGTCTGGACTTTCTCTGGTATACAATGGAGAACCCCTGAAGATTTGGTAGGAGAAGGAGGAACATAACCCCAAGGGGTCCTACAAAAAGATTAACCTGTTAGCCTTAGGACAGAAAGAGGGGAAGAGGAGAGACAAAGAGACTCATTGGGAGGCTATTGCAAGCGCTCAAAGGAAGATATTGAAGGCCGGTCTGGTCTGTTGTGGCAATGGGATGGAAAGGAGGAGAAGATGGGAGAGGTACAGCAAAGGAAAAGGCTGGGCTTGGTGACTAGTTGGTTGTGAGGGTGAAGGAGAGGGCTAACTCAACTAAGGAAATGAGGAGGAAAAGTTGGCAAGAGACAAAAACGTTCAGTTTTAGATCTATATATTTTGAGGTGCTAGAAAGACATCTAGGTGGAGATGTTCATCCAGCAGGAAGTTAGAAAATTCGGAGCTAGTATATTAAAGAGATAGATTTGAGAATAGGTGCTTGGAAGTGAGAGTTGAAATCGTGGGAGCTGAAGAGAAAACTAAGAGAAAAGGTGCAGGGAGTATAGAGGAAGAAAGGAGGGCTAAGCAAAGGTCTGTGAAGAAACGAGCATATTTAGGGAGGGAGGGACCAGTAAAAGAGGCAGAGAAGAGAGGTAAGAGGGTAGTCAGGAAAGGGCAGAGTCACAGAAGTGAAGGGAGAGAAGCTTCAAGGACAGGATGGTCAACAACGCCAAACGCTAATCAATCAGTTAGTTTCATTAAGCATTTACTGTGTTCCATGAGGAACTTGGGATTCAATGTGTCAGAGAAGACCATAATTAGTAAATTAGATAAAGCCAGAGGGGGGAAAGGACATAAGATATGTTCAGAAGTGGCCTTTGAAATTGTAGACTTAGTAGTATGGGGCTGAAAGCTACAATGGAAAAGGATTGAGCAATGTATTGGTAGAAAGGAAACAGATGTAGGCATTCCTTCTATGGTACTTCCATAGGTACGAGTTAGGGGTTTGGGGGAGGCATGTATGGGAAGTGGGGGATACACGAGTGGCTATCTCAAGCCTAGCATATGTCACAGAGGCACAAAAACCAAGGTAGAGTCCTGAAGCACCATGTGGTTCATTTGGAATAATTAAGGTCTGGAGGATATTTAAGTGACACAGCCACAATCAATGGTAAAACCGGGACAAGCACCTGGGCCCTTCTGACGATCACATGGCTTCTCTGTTCACTACTAGGCTATTGCTTTGGTCACTGATGGATTAGTGGTTTACTGAGTCCAGTAACCTAAGTCCTTACTCAGATCACTCAGAAAGAGATGATCATGGTTGTGGTAAGAGACTAAGGGTTCCTCCCAGGATATGAACATATTGTAGACATTCTCCCACTCAACTGAGGAACTGCTTCTGTGAGCCTATACTTGGAAGATAATGTACTGTTCAGCATTGATTTTCAGCCTAGCCATAGCTGAAACTCATCCAGAAAAAAAAAAAAACCTGGATATATGCAGGAGAAAATGAATATAGCATACAATGAATCTCTAATCAAAGCTGTATTTTTTAAGTTGGTCATCCTGCACACATCCCTACCCAAAAGGCAGTGGGATCTAGAGGGACTGCAAATGTGGGCAGGATGTACTGCATTCAAAAATAATAATAACAATTATAATTTTATTTGTAAACATCCTCAGGGACATTGGTAAAAGCAGGATATTCATCGTAAGACTTTGGTAATGTTCCAAGTTGGGTAATTGCTTTCTATCTACCTACCATCCCTCCCCACCTCTGTAATTCCCTGTGATTGGCTCTTTTCCTGATGGCTAACTATAGAAAATCAAGCTGTGCTCCACCCCAGACATGGCTTCATTTCCTTTGCTGAGTTAGAGAATCATTGGATTTTGGAGCTGGAAGAGACCTTTGAGATCACCCAATTATTTTACAGCTGAGGAAACAAGCCCAGAGAGGAAAAGAAACTTTCCCAGGGTCACACACCTAGTTAGTAGCAGAGCTGGGATTAGAACCCAGGTGTCCCCAGTCCTAGCCCAATGTTTATTCTATCATCCCAGCTCTTCCAAGGCTGCAGACTTCCATTTGAATGGATGAGACAGTCCCAAAGCACAGCCATTATCATTATGACAAAGCAAACTGTGTGAAAAGCCCATTATAAAGGCAATCAGGGTTGACAGAGGCAATTAAAACACAATGATAATAAAGAATTTTCCAAAACACCATTAAATGTGTACTGCAAAAAATCAAACACAGTTTCCAACAGTTACTGAAAGTTGCATTCTTGTCTTAACTCTGGGACTGCTTTACAGGGCCCTCAGGCAACCACAACCAAACATTCCAAACTCTGCTATGTTCCTTCCACATTTCTCAAAAAAGAAGCTAGTTGGAAGGAGAGAGGTGATAATTTCTCTTTTTTTTTAAGAAGAAAAAACTGTTGGGGGGTTTTAATTATTTATTTAATTTGTGAAATAAAACAAGCATTTCCATAATGGTAGACATCTCTAGGATTTACAGGAATTTTCATCTTGACATTCTGTGGGGATATCCATCCAGCTGCATGTGCTCAGCACACAGAACAGAGAAAACAACAACAGAGACACAGAAGAATCAGTCAGGGAGGTAGGAGGAAAACTGAGAGGGAGCTGGGAGATGAGGAGTTCTGTTTTAGGTATCTTGACTTTGAGGTTTGGGGATTTACACACTTAGATTTGACCTTTAAGGCATTATTGCAACAGGTACTATTCAACAATAGAAGTAGTCTGGGCTTACGGTAAGGCAAACCTAGGTTCAAATTCTATCCCTGATACTATACGTGTAGTGGCACTGGGCCAAGTCACCTAATTGCTAGGTGCCTCAGTCAATTCCCTAGGACTTATCTCCAGAGTCACAGCCAGGTGCCATCTGCCTCAAGTGGAGGGAATTCTCATACCATGAGTTCCACTGGCTCCAACTCCCTTGTATATTTCTGCTTGGAAAAGCCTGCTCCCAAAGGAGGCAGAATAGAATATCAAAGAAAAAAGACAAAGAAGGCAGTTTTCTACCTCAAGGACCTTTGGAAAAACAAAGATGTCCATACTGTGATTCAAGGTATGATGGGGTTTAGGCAGGTACTGACAGGACATGCTATTAAAGGTGTCCCCTGAGCAGCTGGAAATAGGGTATTAGAACTTGGGAAAGAGGTTGGGATGTGAAAAATTTCAGAACTCTTCTGTATTAAACTGGCAATTGAAGCAGTGGATTGATTATATGAGGAAAATTTCTGGACTATAAACATTTCTCAAGTCCTCCTTTCAGAGAGCCTCAAGAACAGATTCTCCTTAATTAACCTGGCCTTATTGAACAATGCCAATTACCTTCAAGGATCACCTTCCTTGGCATGGACCAAGTGCCACAGGGAATATGTGTAAGTCATAATAACTTTCTGTTTAAGGCATATTAAGAAAATGAAAAGACCATCTATGTTACCTCCTTGGTGATCTTTGGAGTTGTTAGCTACCTCTAGGGATCAAGATGCCAGGCCTGTTCCAGGAGGTTACCATTTGCATTTCAGCCAGGGAAGTATTCTATGTCTAACTTTCATGGAATCAGGAAAGACTTCTTGAAGGCATCAGGCCATCTAGTAGACTTTGAAGGATGGATATAGCATTCCAGAATCTTTACTGTTAGTGAAGACAAGACAGATTCATGACATGAGTTGAATAGAACTGATTTTCCCCAATACCTCACCCATCTAAGTAGATATCTCACCCATCTCCCAAATAAATGACAATAGGATAACCATATCATAGATTTAAAGCTGTGACTTTAGAAGGCATAGTCCAAGTAACAGTTCCAACCTTCTACATTTGATGGATAAGGAACCTCAGGCTGAGAAAGGTTAAATGATAAGCCCAAGGTGATAAATGAGTGGCAAAGTTAGGATATAAACCCAAGTCCATTGCTTCCAAAGTTTTCCACTACCCAAATCAATATTTTGAATATAGTCAATATTTTATTCCAAACACCCAATATTTCATTCTAAAAATAATGTGAATACTTCCATTTCACAGTTAGAGAAACTGAGGGAAAGAACAGTTAAGTGACTTTGCTAAAAGCATGCAGTCTGGTCTAAGAGTATAAGACCCATCTATTGCAACTCATAGAGTCTCTCTCATTAGGACTACCCAGCCTGCACCTGGACATACGTAATTAGAGTACAAAACTAATGAGGCTAAGGTCATATGTTCAATCCCCATATAAGACAGCTTCGCAAAAAGAAAAAGACTGCCCCTTTGGCACAGACTGGCAGATGTGTTGCTAAGCCACTGTCAATGATACTGGAAAGACTGCCGTACTGAAGAGGGGCAAATACTAAGCAAATACTTTTCAAAAAAGGGAGAATTGAGTCACCAAAGTGCAGACCAATGAATTTGCCAGAAAATTCTAGAAATGTTATTATAGAGGTAGTTAGTGAACATATGGAAAAGAAAATGGTCATCATGAACAACTTATGTGATCCACCATCATGGATCTAGGTTCATTAAGAGTAGAAAATGCCAAATTCATTTCTTTCTCTCAGCTGGATTACTAAACCAGTATATCAAGGGAATGATGCTCTGTT